AATCAGTGCTGGTGCAATCTTTTAAAAAATCTTTTTAAAATTTTGGGAATATAAATATCACGCTAATTTAAATTTTATTTATTAAAGTAATACATGTACACTGTTAAAAAAATAGAAATTTACTTCGTTACATATAATGGAAACAAATTTCAAAAAGGTTATTGACACTTTAAATATTTTTAACGAAAAAATATTTAATATTGTCAATGAAAATGAAGTCATAAGTAACTTAAATTTAATGTTTACATTAAATTTCATGTAAATCTATATAAAATTTAATGAAAAATGTATTAAACTTCATAAAATTTTATGAAAACATTAAATTTCATGTACATGTATCCAAATATATTTTTTAATTGCAGATACATTAAATTTAATTTATTGCCATAAAATTGAATTTAATTTATGTAACTTAAAAATATATTAAATTTAATGATATTTTTAACAGTGTATAGATAATACATAGTATAAATCAGTGTTGGAATTTACTAGCTTGCACATTTTGGTTTGGTTTTTTATTTCACTGCCTCTTACTTCACTAATCCGTGCACAGCTTAAATGCCGCAGGGGCAGGAACCAAGCTGAAAATCGGCAAAATGTACAAAATCCCAGCACTGATTTATATCATGTATATCTATATATGTATTACTTTAATAAATAAAATTTAAATTAGCGTGGTATTTATATTTTCAGAATTTTAAAAAGATTAAAATTTTCTGTTTTTTATGTGACATTTTAGAAACATTTTATTTATTATTATTATTTAGAGAAAAAAACTTTATATATAACTTATCACATTGTAGTTTTTATTAAAAATATTCAGATTTATATATCGTATTTACAGATTTTTGTAAAGTAATATAGATATATATATTCTGTGTTGTAAAAGTTCAAGTCTGAAATGATTTAACAACTTAAATTTGTGCTACTGTGACATGAAATTCGAAATTATAGGTTAAAATCATATCTTTTTACTTACGTACTTTTCGATGAAGTTATTTACATAAGAAAATATTGTCAGGGAAAACTACAAATTGATTGAGGTTTATATTATATTATTTTAATGAACGCACTTGGATTCAGAAAGAGGCTATATTTGTGCGAAATGTCAGATGTTTATTATATTCCAGTATATCATCATAGGATATTTCCAATTTCCATGAAAGATCTACTGCGTTTGAACGCGATACATATTATATGATGCATTTAAATCTGAAAAACGAGATGCTTATAAAGGATTATATTCTTTGATGACACAATGTTGACACAATGTTGTTTGTATTCATAAAATCGTGTAAACGTTGTTAAAAATTTCATTTCTAATAATATTGTCTGTTGTTCAATAATATGTTTTCCTATTTTAAACAATTTTATCTCGAAACAACTTTGAACTTTGGTAATCATTTCTCATGAAACATATCGTGTTGCATTACACGTACGAACTGTTCTGCAATATTTCTATTCTCTTTTTTTCTCTTTCTTTCAGGATCGCGACGTTTTACATATTGCACAATTTTTGTTTCTATTATTTCTAATATTATTTGTATAGTAATCTCGTTTCTTATTTCAATTATTTCTCCATAAAACAAATCTTTTTTAAATCATCATTAGTTACATCGTGCACATTTTGTCAATAAATGCATCACATTGCTCACATTTTCACATTGTACTCGATGGATAACATACTCGTTACACACGTGTATAAGCACGTATCACAGATCCTATCAATGATTTATGACATTTCACCGTAAACATTACAATGCGACAATTGCACTCGATTCGAGATTTAACTTGACATTTATGAGCGTTTTGATTCGATTTAGTACTTGACACGATAGATAAAGAATAAATATATTGACAATCCCGAATAATTGAAAATTTAGTATATAATTTCAGTCCAGTATCACTTTCGTATCATGAGCAGTGATTAACATAACGTGGACGTTACAGATGTTTCACGAGAGAGCTGGTATTTATCACGTACTTATATCAAATTTTACTTTTCCCCTTAAATTGCAGCAGACTTTATACATATTTGAGAATTTTTTTTAAATTGTGTGTGAATTAATCTTTGTTAACCTTACGTCTAGTCTATTCGCTGTTTCTAACTGAACTACTTACTACCTTTTCAACAGTTTTTAAAACAAAAGCTTAATATGGTTACAACACTAGCGGCACCTAAGTTCGCCAATCGCGGTAAATTTGAATAAACATAAGTCGCACAAACTACTTAATAAAATAAAAAGTTTAGAAATAAAATCTTCTATTTTAACAAAGAGTAACGCTCGATATTACGGTACGATAACGGCAATGCAATCATACGGTTCATCCTCATCGTTAGAATTGTATCACTTTATTACGGCGAATTTCATTAAAGTCGTAATTTTTATTCGCTTTTTTATATTCCTCCGAGAAGTTTGTAAAGATCGTAAGCTCAATTGGAATTTGTAACGATCGTGCTTACGTCTTGCATTTTACGCAAATCTCCATGAAATATTTCTGCATATTTCAGATAAACCGATCGTTTATTTAAATATAATGTTTGTACGACATCGATATTTATAGATTGGTGATAAATAACGAATGATGAAATTTTTATCAAGACTTTTACAAAAAAATACAGAAGCAATATAAATAAATACGTTTGCATTGAATATTATATTTAAATGTGAATTCTCTTAGGATTTCGTGAAATGCAGTATTATTGCATTCTGTCACGCTACATGAAAGTTACAATCTATGTATCACCATAATTAATTAAATTACCTAACTTTGAAATGATTGTCATATTTACATTTTATGAAAATGAATTGTTTAATCAATTGAAGTAATTCGCAAATTTTAATTACGAGCAATCATATATGAATTGTTAACAATGTATGATGGTAACATAAATAAATATTCTCAATGCGTATTTTATTTCAACATTTTTCAGTGTACTCGAAAAACAATCAGAATTGCTGCATTTACGAATATTTGATCAAAGAGTAGATCTCTCTCATTATTGATTCAGCGACGTTTACCTGTGTCGCCCAGGAAATCGGTGATGAGCAGGGTCTCGTCGTCTAAAGCAGTGACGAGACTGTCCGTGCACGTGTTGGTGTTCTCGATGCTGATTTTGATGCTGTCATCTTTGTTGAGCCGTGGATGATTGTTCGCGGCGGGGTTGTTACCGGCGTGGCAGTTGTTGTTGCCGACCTGCTGGCCGAGCTGGTGATGGGGAGAGCGCACGGATTCGGTGCTGCTGGTGTGTAAACTCACTCCCGTGGTCGCTCTTCCGTTCACCAGCCGTAGGCTTGGTGCCCGACGACCACCGCCGCCTCCACCACCGCCACCGGAGCTGGTCACAGAACGACCGCCACCGCCGCCGCCGCCGCCGCCACCGCCGCCCTCGCCCTCCCTGTAACAAATTGTACATTACATAAATGTTCTCTTTTCTCTATCTCTCACTGCAAACACAAGTACTATACTCTGGATAGAGTTCACGAATTTTCATGAAAGTTACTTCGTCTTTTTTTAATTATACAGTATAGGATGAAGCGATTTTTTTATCTCCTGTTATACTCTTGTTATACTTGTGTTTTCGGAAAGAACATAAAAAATTATGAATTTTGAACAAAAAAATTTTAAGATGAATATCTATTTCTGTTAAAAAAATTGTAAAAAATGGTTTTTTATTTTTTTATTTTATTTCAAATAACGATTGGTTTATTATAATCATATTAAAATTGTTACTGAGAAGACAGCGAAAGCAAACGCAAAGAAGTGGCACATGCTATTATCGAATCTCGTAAGAGACTGAGACTTGAAGTAAAAAAAGATTTTCAACAATAAATCATAATTATTTTTAAGAAATAATTGTTATGAACCATAATAAATCGATCGTTAATTGAAATAAAATAAAAAATGAAAGAAAGGACTTTTTCGATTTTTTTAACTGAAATAAATATTTTAAAATTTCCATGTGTGTCTCATCAAAATTCATCATTTTTTATACCTTTTCCAAAAATATATGTACAACAGAGGGTAAAAAAATCGTTCTCTCTTCTACAGGATTTTTAGGAGTTCGGAGGTTTGCGGAGAATTTATAACAAAGAATTATTTTCTTTAATAGTCTCTCTTGAGACTTCCACGAGCACTTTCTGTACAGAAATTACATATATGAGTTATCTCCAAATCGCGTGGCATTTTAAGAACGGATTTAGATACGGAGATAACCCGCGAAATGCATAATTTCTGTATTATACTTTTCTTTATTTAAAATTTGATTGCATTATATAATCTTTTTGTAAATTTTAAAAGAGAAGGCTACAAATATATAGCAGAAGTAATGTTTTTTTAAAGAAATGAAAGCTATCACAGAAAAATTAGAGCAACAACGCGACACGTCGCAATATCGTGTGAAGTGGTTTTCACTATCCGCGCATATTATTATGGAAATATTCGCTGCGACATTTCGTTGTGTAGTACAGCGATTCAACACAATAGATACCGCGACGCATACTTTTTATATTTTCCAAGAGATCTCACAAGAATATATTAAAATATGAAATTTTGCAAAACTAAGTTTCAAAATCTAAATAAAAGAATATTTGTAATTTCAAGGTTTTAATTATTTACTCATTTTACTTAAGATCAATCTATTCACGAATTGCATTTCTTATCGAATATGCTGTATATGATGAAATCTTCTAATGTTATTTATTAAGTTATTAAATAAAGATAATATTTGGTGAAGTTCAATAATTTTTCATTTTGAAGAAGTAAGAAACATTCTAACGAGATTTTTCTACAAAATATTACACATATATCTCCAAAATAGACGGGAGAAAGTTAAAAAGATATGGTCAATTACGCGTGACGCCGATCGCCGTTGGTATCGACAGCTCGTTCGACGTGACACTTGATACAGTAATACTGATAATGTGTTTTCTCGTCGTCATGATGTAGTATATTTAGTTCACCGCGAAATATCTCTTCGGTGCAAAATCGTGAACAGTAATAAATATTTTCTCTCGCATACGGTTGTGTGAAAGCACTGTACATCAACGAAGGATTTTCACTATTGGCACGCAAGCCGACGCTGTTCGTTCTTGTTGCATACTAACAAATATCGATATCGTAAATTTAAACGCGCGAGCATGACTGCAGCGAAAGTGCAATGTTATCGCACTCTCACGCTTTACGCACATGACACAAATCAAATTTGTTCACATGCCTCGAGGTCAAATTGTATTATCGAAATTGTTAGGAACCACAGCTGATGGGCACAGCAAGCAATCTACGTCAGTGTAACTTCGTCAATTCCTATCACGTCCCGTAAGGTATACAAAATCAATCGATTATTAAACAGTCATTGCTAGATCGATCATCTTTACTTGCTCAATATTATTTTGAAACGTTTTAGAATATTGGACATATAAAAATTTAGTTATTTCTTAAAATAATCTTAAAAGCTATAAAATGATTCTACGATTAATAGATTGACGCTTTGTCTTCTATCTCTCTATAATCTTTCTATAAACTGATTATTAAACTGATATTTTTTGCATAAAATTGAAGTCTTTTAAATAATAATTGGATAAATATTTACACAAACACACATATATACACATATTTAGATATTTTTTCTTTGACTTTATTTTTTTTCTTACTTTTCTAAAATTATCTTAAAAATGAAAATTAAAAATCACGAAAGTGAAACATAATAGTTAAAATAAATTTTGCAAATTTTTTAACTTTATTAATAAGTAATTACATTCTAATTGTTAGCGAATTATATCTTATCGTTTTATAAATGTATAATATATTATTTACGCATTGGAAATTCGTATAGGCATTTTGCTTATATTTAATTTCACAAAAATTTATTTTTTTATAAAATAAATTAATTCAAATTAAACGAAATGTCAAAACAGAAAGCCATTCATAATGACGCACTGAAAATAAATCGAGGTAAAATTTCATTACTTATTGACAGTTCTGACAGATACATTGATAAATTACTTTTATCACAATTATAAAATATCGCGATATGCTTCTATAGCACAAATTTTATCAAGAGCTCATTTTGTATTTCTTCAAGTAATAATTGAAAATAACGCAATTTCCGCACATCTATGTTACATCAATGGAATTCCATCCGTGCGCTATACACATTTGGCGGAAGAAAAACAAATTGTCGGAAATTTTATCGCGTCGATCTAAAATGCGACAAAGTACGTTCGCATATTAAATCACGTAGCGCGTTCGTAATAATTGCGCGTCAACGTGACAGGCAAATAAACCAGGCGTCAAGAAAGACATTGGAAGAGACACGTAAAAATAGCGGATGCGGTACATCAGGCTCTTCTTGCGCGCAGTTCGCCTTCGTAAGGTAGATGCTTTTCTTTCGAAAAGATATGAAAGAATAGCAATAGATGAGAGAAGACCAAGGCGAAGAATCCTTTATTTCTCGATACATAAAACGGAAAAGCGAAGAGATAGAAACAGAGATAAGGTAGGAAATACGAGAAAGTATGGAAAATAAAAAAAATATAGAAAGGATGAGATGGAAATGCACAGGATTCTATTAATATCTAGGAAGCAGTAATTATCTAGCAACAAACTGCAGATGTCATATTATTATTCGTTTTAAAATTATATTATGCTTACATGAGTCTTAAGTTCTCTTACAAGACAGTGTGATAAAAAAAAAATCACAATTATATCGATTAAAAATTTATATGCGAAGAGATTTTATTTAAATTATATTTTTGATATTATCTTTTAAACGTATATAATTTTAAACATTTATTTAAAAAATACTATACGATTGATTGAAAATATTTTTTTATTGAATTCTATAAAATATCTTCTTTTTCATTTTTTTTTACAAAATTATATATAAAAATTTTAAATTATAAATTAAATTATACATTGGATTTTTTCCTTTTCTCTCTGCCTGTCTCTTTGATTAGAATTAGCTCTATTATTCTATATTATTTTATTATTTTAGTAATGCTGAATTAATTAATATTCTTTATTTAAATTACAATAGAGAGATGTAGTTTTTGGTGCAACAACAACGAATTGTAGCTGAAGGCACAAATGCGCGTTTATATATATATATATGTGTGTCCAGCTTTCATAGAGTGAAATGTAAAATCTTGTCTAGAGAAAGCCGCGATGGCATTGTATGTTCCACTCAATAAGTATATGTGTGCGTATGTGTTCGAACTAACCTCTAGTTAACACTGGAATCTATTTTAAGAAACCTCCCCGCCGGGCAATGCGGTCGACCGCGGCAAAAAGCATTCGAGTCGAGATGTATGCGCCTCTCGAAAAGACTGTTGGTAGAAAAAGAGTGTCAAGGTTCGTTTTCGATTACTAAAGGCTTTCTCAATTTGGCAAATGGTACGACGAGTCGCGGGAACGACCTGACTCGACTGTCTTTGACAAAGAAAAATCGACGGATTTTTGCCTTGGATGGGCAGGATGTAACGGACTTTACAATGCTAGCTGTTTTTAATTTTTACTAATCTATATAATATTTACTTATAATATTTCAATGATATTTTCGATTGCCCTTATTTGACTTTTAATTCTTTTAGTTCTATCATTTTGTCATCCTCCTTGCGAAATTAAATTATCGATAATTATATTTTATTTTTAACAAGGAGAGATGTACTTGATTTTTTTCATAAAATTTTTTTGCAATACTAGACGAAAAATATTTCTAAAACAAAGAATATTCTTTAACGGCTCAAAATGTTATATTATATTATAAGTAAATATTACAATGGTAGAACGACAGTTTTTCATTCAAAGGAAATCGGGAAAGTTGTTATTTGTGATAATCAGAAAGAAAGGAAATTATATATTCCGTATTATATACATCGTATGATATAGATTTTTTGTCTTATGCTATTTGCTTTACATATAATTGTGCCTTCATTTCTCGACCTCAATTTATCACGTTCTATCGAAAGGCGAATCAAATTGAACATAAATCAATATTGACGCCGCATCTTGCTGGCGCAGACGAAGTTCGTAATATGCAGTAGAATTGTCTAATCGCGAAAATATACCTAATTAAGATAGCTCATAGTTATAAATATTCCGGTAATCAATACAGTGACTGTATTCGCATTAACAACTACAATTCGGTGAAATTTTCCAAAAAAACGCGATTAAAATAGAATATATAATTTTTTATGTTATGTGAATTACATGCTTGGTGAATAATAATCAGATAAATTAAGTTAAGATAGCGTTTTTATCGTGATCAGAATGTTATGTACATAATTGATATAATCAAATGTGACAAAAAAATATATTGATACAATTTCAATAAGATAATTGTATTTTTTATGTCGTTCACTGTTTCCACGTATTTCTAGAGTTTGTGATTATTATATT